TGGAATGCCCGGCTCACGTCTGAGGACAGAGGTGTCACCTCTTCAGAGAGGCTTGCCTCACCTGTCCTGCAAGAGAGGCCTGGTTTCTTATTCCCATGGGTCTCTAACTTCCCAGTGGCACCTGATGTCGTCCCTGTCCCTCAGGAGGGCCTGCTTAGCATGTGATTGTCTGGCTGACACACAGCCCAGGTCCAGGCACAGTGGTGGGGGCACATGAGGCGCTCCGCAAATGTCCTTCCGTCACGTGGACATCAGGGGCCTCGCCGGAGGCCCCCCACCCCCACCCCCGGACTAACCGCAGCCGAACACCTTGCTCTCCCTCCCCAACTGCCACCAGACCTGTTACTTTTGCTTCCGAAGCCCTGCACCCGCGAGGTTTGCAGAAGTGCTAAAGCCCCGCCAGAGCCCGGCACTCGCTCGGCTCCGTCGCCCTGGGGTGACCTGACCTCAAAGCGGCCCGCCGGCCCCCCGCCCCCGCCCCCGTCTAACCGCCCTTTCGCCGGACCGAGGTAAGGGAGGGGACAGGGGTCTCCTCGGGTCAGAGCTGGGAGTGGAAGAGGAGACGGGCCGCGAGTGGGGGAAAGGAAAGGGGACACGCCAGCCCGTCCCTTTCGAATGGCCTCTTCTCCCCTCAAGTGGCAGGGGGGGAAACTGAGGCCCCAAAACAGCCTGCAGGAACTGGAGCCTGCGTTTGCCTGCCCAGGCACATCACAGGCAAGACGCCCCATTCCGGTCCTGGAGAAGTTCTCCTCTGCCCTCGCAGAGGGCGGCCAGGCCCCGTCTGGTGCAGAGCAAGGGCCTGATCTCCCCTCATCTTCTGGCCGTGCCACAGAGGGGGACAGTGGTTGGCGAGTGGAGGAAGCTTTGACTTCGAGGGGGACGCTGGGAGTAGAGATACAAGCCTGACACCGGAGAGGAGGCTCAACTCGCTCATTGTTCTAGTTCCAGGGACAATGGGCATCTCTCTGGAGAGCCATTGTTTCACAAGCTGGAAATTGGGTAGGGGATTTCCGGAAAGTTTGAATGGAAGCCAGGCTTGGCTGTCAGGAGACTGGAGGAGGAGGAAGAAGAGGAGGAAGGGGGAGGGAAGAGGAAATGGAGGGGCCAGTCTGGGCTTAGAGAAGAGTACTCTGGTGCCTTAAGGACAAATTTGTTCTGAGACTCGCTTTGCCTATCTCTGACTCCCTTCTTCAGCAAAGTAGCTCTGGAGGTTAAAGAGAAGCAAACTGATGCCTCCCTGTCTTGAGGACCGGAGTTGAGGTGGTCCACCCTTGCTATCTTAGCGTGTACCACTGAGGCACAGTTTTGATGCTCCTGGAATCCACATTTCTGGAGAATCTGGTTCCTTGGAGTTGGGGTAACCCACTCAGGCCCGTGCCTTTCAGTGCCCTTTTGAACGCTGAACCCTGAGCCGATAAGGAGTTGTTTTTTTTCCAAAAGGCATCTTCAACCAGATAATAGCCAAGAAAACAGCTTAGCAGAGAGCCTTTGGCCTTGGGAATTATCAGTTGACAGGAGCAGTAGCCTCAAGGTCTGACTGGAAAAAGCATGGCAGGTCTTTCCTGATTCTGTTCCTACAACTGACCAACTCGGGACCCTGCACCCCTTCTCCTGCTCCCTGCGAGCAGTTACCCTGACAACCACCAGTATCCTTCTGATAGATACATTTGAATCGGTGCTGCCAGATTTGAATCCCGTTATATCCGGTTACACTGCTTTGGGGTATTTCTCTGAGGAGCTTAGTGATCGCTCAGAAAATGTGTGAAGAGTGCATACACGAAGGTATCTCAGAGACTGGCCCAGAGAGTACTTTAACCACTCCTACTGTCCACGAAGGTAGACAGTCCTGAAAGTATATGAGATGAGAAAAATGTAACAGTAGGGACAGTGAGGATTGTGGGATAATCCAGGCAAATAGGGGCAGGCGGGAGCTGAGTATGGTTATTGGGTAGCAATGGCCAGCAATTCAGAATAATATTTGGCCTATAAAACAAAATCCCCACCCCCTCCTCACTTCCCATTCACCTTACAGAGTTTGAGCTGAACAAATATAGGATCGATCAAGTTTCCTCAGGGTAAAAGCCCTTTGGTGGCTTTCCCCTGCCTCTGGGCCCCTGTGCAGCCCTGAGCCTGGAGCTCCTCAAAGACAGGGCCCTCTTGATGGCCCAGTACTCACCACAGCTAACTGACGCCCAGCCCACACTGAGGGGCTCTGTAAAGTTGGATCGAATTAACTGCCAACTGCTGTGAATTCATTTCGCCCATTCGACGATGCTAGAATGGAATGCCAAGTTTGGTCTATTCAATGATTTTGAAGTTCAGTAATTTATCAGCATTATAGTTCTTGATTTGGTCTTGGAAAATAACAAATGGCCATTAAAATTTTTTTACATTATTAGAAAATTGAGTCATATCCCATCCAACAAGAATATAGTTAGTTGCAAGCCGGAAACAAGCTAATGTAGGATGCAGTGCCGCTGAAAGACATGACCTGACAGCAACACATTCTGTTTGTTTGAGACAACGAGAATATGTCTCTTGACTGAAGAGGTGGGGTAGGGAGCTCTGCTTTTGGGGGCCAGGCTGGGGAAGGGGCGGCAGGCGCCATGTCGGGCCTAGAAGATGGCAAGAAGAAGCCCCTGAAACAACCCAAGAAGCAGAACAAGGAGATGGACAAGGACCAGAAGGCTTTCAAGCCGAAACAGAAGGAAGAACAAAAGAAACTCCAGGAGCTAAAGGCGAAGGCCACGGGGAAGGGGGCCCTGGCCACAGGTGGAATGAAGAAATCTGGCCAAAAATCAACCGTTCTTGGGGACGGAGACAATGACGCCCCTTGATTCCGTTCCTGTGTAAACATCTGGACTCCCTGCTAGAACATTTGTTGCCACTTCTAGTTAGAATGAAGTGTTGTCTTGGAGCCTGCTGTACATTTAAGAATAAACTTTTGTAAAAAAAGAAGAAAAATCATACAATGTTCAGTTCTTCTCACCTAGCCATTTCTGTCTTAGCTGTGAGGTCAGAGTGAGCCCAGTCCAGAACCTGCCAGAGCTGCTCTCCAGTCTGTGATGCCCAGAATTCTGTACCATCTGGAATGAAAACAACTCATTTAAGGAAAAAAAGAAAAGGAATATTTCTCTTGTCACTACGGATGGTCAATGAAATATAAATACAATATATTGAGTAAGGAGTCTGGGAATTTCTCTTACAGGGAGTGACTCAGGTGGGAGGCATACCTTTTTGCCTTTCCAGCCTTCCACTTAGGAACACTGGTGGCATAGTGGGGTTCTGAGTTGTTCTGTTAACTG